TTTTACCACAAGCGAAACACATTTTATCAGCCAAAGACATGCAAAGTCCATCTAGAAGGCGAGTCGGCACAAGACAAGAGTGATGAGGACAGAGTCGCTCAGCAATTCTTAGAGAGACAGCTGCATCTCACCCCTATTGCAGACAGAGCACAAATCTGTTGTCACACCCATCAGCTTCTCCTGAGTGAGAGTGCAAGCCTGCACTCCACGCCACACTACATTGTGAGACGACGTAACCGCCTCAGCTGGTCCCAGCTCCCAGCACGACCTTCGGGCAGTGAATGAGAGCTATGCTGTCTCCATCACCCCTCCCCAGAAGGGGAGCTGGGGACCACGTCTGAGTGTCTTTACGTTTTCTGGGTCTAGCAGTTGGGAACAATCAATGCAGCCTCGACACTGCCAGGCACTTACTCTGTGCCAGGTGCAGCAAGCACCGCGAGGAATGAGAAAGAGGGAGTACTGCCTTTGGGAAGCCCGGCCTCCAGGAGAGATGTGGAAAGGAACAGCTTCAGGGAGCACTAGGTTTCCAAAGTGCTAGGAATAAAGCTGTACAGAACGCTGTGCAGAAAGCAACGATGGGTGTGGAGAATGTACTAGCGTGACTAGAGCAGACAGGACACGGGAAGGGATGTCTGGTACCCAACTGCCATGGGCAGAAGTTTGGGCCTTACAGGGAACAGGAAAGCAGTAGGAGCAGTTAAATAAAGGAACGACAGGCTCAGGTCTGTTTTTCACACAATTACTCAATGATAATGGTGGGGTGGGGCGGGGAAGGGGTGGGGGTGGAGGGGGTTCTGGGAAGCAGGCAGAGAGCCTGCTGAGGAATATACTAATATACAACTGTGCCCCTCGCTTGAGAAAGCATGGCAACATTTGAGCATATAGAACATGGGGGCTGTGGAAACGATGCCAAGGGGGCCAGTCAATGAAACATGGCAGAGTGAATCAGGAACTACTCCAAAGTCCCCAGCACTCTGGACTCAAGACATGCACAGTGAAGGACAGCAACAAACCACTCTGGCCAGGGACAATGGCCCATTTCATGCACACAGGCAGGTGTGGAGGGACGTGCCCGGCCTATCTGTCAGTATTAGCTGATCACCCACGAACAAATGAACACAAACATAGAGGGAGAAATGCCAGACTGAGCAAAATATATATGCATCCAGGGAGGCCCGAGAATAAGTACCTGCAATTGAAAGCACAGCATAGGACAGAAACTGCCAAAAAGATTCTGTGATCTAACAGAACAAAGAAAGACAAGTAAGGAAAACAAGTAAAAGAAAGAAAAGAGAAATGGCAGTCATTTCAGCAGTTTGGGATCTGAGACAAACAGGCCCTCCAGGAAATTTCTTTTCATTTCTATCATGAAATTTAGCATCCATCCAATTATATTATTCAATGCCAAGTATTTTTATAGGTTGGGGAAGCTATTCATGGTAAAATGCCGAGAGCCATGGGGAGGCTCTGGAGCCCCAGGTGGGTAGCTGGCCACAGCAGCAGCACCACCAACCCCGCTGACATCTCAGGATCATCACACACGATTCGCTTCCCTCCCTAAAACATACTGGTGACGTGACACGAACGACAGCAAGGTGCTCCTCTCTCCACTATTTCTACTTTTGCTCCCAGTTAATTTAATGTGAATCCAGACAATGATGAAAGTCTTTATGCCATTTCCAAGTGGCGATCAGACCTAAACGGAGTTCGCTTAAACCATGGCTAACCAAGAACATTCAGATCAATGGGTCACTCAGATGACTAGGACTTCCCAAGCTCTCCAATGTGATTTCCGTTTGTCTTTTAAAAAAATATATATGTGATGATGTTGAGTCATAGTATACAGATCTTCCTCCCCTGCACAAAATGCAGAGAATGGTACTTAAATAAACACTACCAGGAAATTGTATGTTCTTGAAATATAACAGAAGCTGTACACAGAGCAGTGAGGAATTTTCGTGAACTACTGTTATAACATGGTGTTAACCTCCTCAGGCATTAGGTTGTATTTCATAATGAAAGCAGCTATAAAAACAAATGTCAATTGGAAAAGTGGTCCATTTTACAAAGCCTGTCTCCAACACAGAATAAATCTTGCCTTCAAGACACAAGCTATTGTCAAATTCTCCTTTAACTGAAACAACCAAATCATTCACACTGAAAAGAGTCAGAGAATCAAAGAATTTAGAGCAAAGAGAAATCAAACATTTGACCCAAGCCCTACGGCTGGAGGTATTAGAAGCTGTCATTCATGTGAGCCCGCTTTTCTCTTATTCCAGCTTGAAAACCAATTCCTTTCCCCGAGCTGTTCTGTCTTGCCTTTTGGACAGCCAGACCAGACCAAACCCCAGTGCTGAGCACTCCTTCCAATTTTCAAACCGGTAATTGTTCCAATGATAGAAAACAATTTTTAAATCTGCCTACATATGCTACCCAAAACTGACTTTTTATAGATTAAATGTTTAGGATCTGGATTACTTACTTATCAGCCTAACAATTAAAAACATGGTTACTGGAGCAGAAGCTTTGCCTGAAACATTGGTTTTCAAAACTATCACATTTCCAGGCATTCAAACAAAGGTCCACTTCACTCTTTGTTCTCTTCCCAATTGTTTTCAAGTTTTTGCAACTTTTGTTCTAGGTAGAAAAAAAGCTTAATAGCACTGCCTTGTTTACAAAATTTGAAGCCAAAATTACATATTCTTCCCATCACAATAGACTAAGCAAGCTCAAAATGACTTTGTAAAAGGCGGTCCTGATTGTGGCGTGCCAGAAAATATTAACCTAATTTTTAAGTTCCATTTTTCAATACACACAATTTCTTTGGATTCCTGAAAAACAGTGGTTTGGGGCACCTACTTCGCCACTTCAGACTCAAGGCCACTTGAACTGATACTTTTTAAAAGCCACCTTTCATCTTAAAAGGGAAAAGAGCTGCTAATTTCAATTTCAGGAAAGACAAGCATCTGTATGACAGAGGTAAGAAAGTCCACAGCGGCCAATTCTCCCAGATCAAAAGAAACCACCTCCAGGAACGTGGCAACCAGTAAGAAGCTGAGGCCATCTCCACACACAGCAATCCTGACTAACTCTGGGGGCTCAAATGCAGTAGAGAAATGTAAGAACAATGAGGGTGATTAATTGAAGACCAGTGCGCTCCATGCTGGTGGCGTGCTCAATCCAGTTTTAGTCACGCCGGGGCGACAGGTCAGACTTGTCTGGCTGAAAACAGTATTTGAAAGTGAATTCAACTCGGAATTTTTGTAATATGAAGATGTGGCCACCTCCATTTCCGGATAAAGGATTCCTCCCAGTGCTTCCCAAAGGCCACCTCTACTGGGAGGGGGCTATCCAAATCCTCTGCAACACTCGGCCCACTGTGTTTTCATTTAAACCACTTAATAGACTCTACCGCATTAAACCGGATGCAGAAAATAGGTCTACACATTTTCATAGTCAGGAGTGGAATTCATTCAATTAACAACTCAGAGAGACTAGGCAGGGAAGACAAATGTTATGTCTTGACCGATCACAGGAATACTGGTTACAGTGGTTATAAATATCAGTGTGTCCGGAGCTAATATACATTACCGTCCAAGTGAAAAAGAACCCTGTCAACTAAGTCGATGCAAATCCACATGAAACCCAGCCTGCCAAAAAAGCGGCTTTTGTTAGTCAAGCATACCAAAGAACTGCTTAAAGCTTTTTTCCTTTTTAAGTGGGGCTCAAAATAGATTTTAATACTACCAGCTGATGGATCTCACAATTTGCCTTTTGAGCCTATAAACTGAAAACAGAATAAACGGCCTCCTCCCTTTACACAAGTAACAAAATCTCTCTATTCTGTGCATGGCCATGTGAGTGTGGTTTTGGTTAATCCTCACAACCCCCGCAATGACATTTAATAGGGAGCACATATTTTCCTGCGAGGATTTAGCTGCCGGTGGAAGCAGAGCTCTTCGTATTTTTAATCTGATGCTTCCGAGATCTGCGAGACACAACCTTCCCAGCTCATTTAGGAAGCCCCGTAGCACACAAGCAATGAGAGAAGAAATGGTCGTGTCAGCCTTGAAGGATGAGCTGGGAGAAGTCACGCTCTTTTCAAGAGGCAAGGACGCCAGGTCGCCCTGCCGGGGGGAGAGAGGAATGTGCGCCCCGGCGAAGTGGGGACCGCCGGCCTGGCTAGAACGCTCTGGTGCCTGGTGCTTGGGCTCCTCACTGCGCTCCCAGAGCAAACGTCTCTGTGACAGAGCATCCCTAGTCCCCTTCCCTGGGCGAGCCCACCTTCCAGGCAGTGAGGCACGACCCCGTTTTGATTCCTGTCTTCTTTACAGCACTCGACACCCCTGAAATGACCTGCTTACACGTCTGACCACCCTGTCCCACGAGCTCCACGGGGGAGAGGGTCTGTGTGTCTGCTCTTCCACCGCCCTCTCCAGCGCCCAGCGCGGAACAGTCGGCGACTCAGATCCATTCAATGAATGAACAGGAAGGGAGACGGGCTGTCATCCTGGGACACGACGACGCACATCGCGACCCGAGGAAAGGAAACGTGGGGGGGGGAGCAAGCAAGCCTTTCCCCCGGGAGACAAAGAAAGAGGGTCTGAGGTGGTCCCGTCTCGAAGAGGAAGTGGCGGCGGGCGCACCGGCAACCCCAGGGGACAATGAGGGGCTGGCGGGGGGCGGGGGGGCGGGGTTGGGGGGCGAGGCTTTCGCTCGCTGCGCGTAGACCCGCGGCCTCCAGGCTCGAGAGGTCACCGGGCCGGAGGATCTGAGGTAAGTGGGGGATCAGAGGGGGGTTCGAGGCCCGGGGGAGACGCGGGCCCTCTCGAGGGACAAAGCGGGGGGGGGGGCCGGCCCCTGCCGCCGTCGGAGAGGCTCCTCGGGCAGTGGAGCCTAGGAGGAGCGCAGGCCCCAGAAGGAGAACGGGGCCCGGGGGTCCGAGGGGAAGGTTCATGCGGCCTAAGCAGGGGCCTGATGCGCTCCCGGCGCTCCCGCACCTGGTAAATGGCCGCCCAGTTCCCGGCCTTGTCGATCTGCTCAAACTCCTTTTCCATCTCCATGTTGGGCCAGGGCGGCTGCTGCGCCTCCTTCTCGGCCCACTGCGCCGTCTGCTGCTCTAGGCCGCGTACCGCCCTCAGCCCGGAGTCCCGCTGCAAGCCTCGACTCCCGCCGCTACCGCCGCCCTAGTCGCCGCTGCTTCTTCATGTCAACCGGCAGCCGGAAGTACGCACCGCGCTGCTTCGGGCTCCGCCCCAGCCCAGAGGACCAATCAGCGCTCGAGGATGGCAGCAAGCACTTCCGCGAGGCGGGGCCGGGGGCGGGGCCGGGAGTAGTGGCCTCAGCCCCGCGAGACAACTCGCTGCGCGCGCTCCCTCCTCCCCGCGGGGCTGCAGCCTTGGGCGTGGCGCGCTCCTGTTACCTAGGCGATCCAGGGCGCCCGCCCACAGCGCGTGGGTTTGCAAAGGCCCGGGCCGGGGGGGATCTTGAGTTCAAGCCTCGACGTGGCGAGTGAAGTCACGGAGTGACCTCGAAGTAGTCATGCACCTTCCTGCAGCAGCCTGCTCCCGCTTCAGTGCTCCAGGCTCGAGCCTGGCAGCGGGGCTAGGCTGCTCCTTTCTTCCACCCACCACTCTGGGCAATGTCCTGAAATTTAGGACTTCTTACGCGCCGGGCTGCTGGGGAAGGTCCACTTCCCTCTGACAGTACTGCTGTTGTCAGAAACGCAAGATTTCTTTTCGGGGTCTCTGATTTCGTGCGCTGCGGAAATGAATGAATTGGGGTCTAGAATGATTTTTCAGTATTTCCCAAAGTATCATGGAACTCCTCAGAGAGGACTCAGTGGAGTCCAAATTCCATGATGCATTAGTGCGTTGAACGATGCAAATTTCTGGACCCAACTCCAAAGGACTCCATAATATAATCTGTATTTTTCACCAGCAAACGCAGCTAATTCTTTACCTGTGATCTTTGAGAGACAAAGGAGGACTGGCCAGGTTACCTTTCTGCCCGCTCTAAAAATGAAGCCATCCAACTCTGCAATGGCACACTTTGTGGAGACTGTGAAGTCGAGAGGGCTGCGGGAGAGACTGCGCACTCCACAGCATCAGAGACCCTCGCGGACCGAGTCAGCACTGTTCCATTTCTAGCCAAGCCTGCCCATCGCCGCTGCCTGGTACTGTTGCTTGAACGCTACCTGGTTCCTTGAGTACTTGAGGCAGGCACTGTGCCTGTCATTCTATTTAATCTCCACCTACAATTTCAATACCATTATTATTCCAGTTTATAGATGAGGAAACAGAGGCAGAGAGAGGCACAATCACTTTTCCTGAGTAGCAGCACACGGTGGCATGAAAACCAAGGGTTTCTAACCCCGTCTCCAGGAAGTGCTTGCTTTGAAGTCAGTCTGCCTGGATCCAAATTCCAACTCTTTTAGACAGGAGCTGTGCAGCCTTGATTACAATTCCTAATCTCTCTCTGCCTCTGTTTCCTCCTTTGTGAAATGACAATAATAAAAGTACCGTCATCATACGGATGGTGTGAAGATCAGATGAGTGATTATAAATAATTAGTAGATCAATAAATATCAGTTCGAAGTAGTATAGACTCCCAATAATAGCAAATGAATTCCTGTGGAATAAATGTAATTGGTTTGATAGTTATGTCTTTAGTATTCCATGAGGGGGAAATTCACAAAAACCCATCCTGGTGAAAAGTTTGGGCATCCCACCCCCGATGCTAATTTAGGTCTCAGCCTTTTACATGATCTTCAGGTTTGCATACTTGTCTTCCCTTCCAGCCCTTAATTATGTGAGTGTTAGTTGTCTGCAAGTGCAGAGCCCAGAACTCTGTGCTGTGGGGAAAAGAGAATGAGCCCAGCCCATTCTTCTATTCTATATTCCTGTATATGGGCTGAGCTAAGTAAGTAGATCAATCAAATGCTCATCTGGAACCCAAGTCAGCTTCCAGCATGCAGGGAATGCCACCGAGTGACCAGATAGCCTCTGAGTGGGGCCAGAGCTACGATAGGATCTTGGTGAAGACTGAAGTCTCAGGGGGGCTAAAGCAGCCCAGGATGTTGTATGGCTGTGTTAGTTTCCTAGGGCTGCCATAATAAATTACCGCAAATCTGGTCGCTTAGAACAATGGTAATTTATCTCTGAACAGTCTGGATGACAGAAATCCAACATCAAGGTGCTGACAGGGCCTTACACCTTCTTCAGGCCCTCATAGAAAATCCTTTCTTGCTTCTCCCAGCTGCCAAGGTGTCAGACGCCTCTTGGCTTGTGGGAACACATCTCCAGTCTCTGCCTCCTTCTTTCCATAGTCGTCTCCTCTGTTTCCTCTTCTCCATGGGTCTGATTTCCCCCCAGTGCTCTCAAACAAGGACAATTATTACTGGTTTTAGGGCCCACCCCATTCTGGGGTGATCGGCAATCCCAAGTAATCCAAGAACAGTTCATTTTGAGTAATCCAAGAATTTAGCTCTTTGGGGTCCCCCAGTCAACCTACAACAGTGTCAGAGTGTGAAATAGTGTCACAAAATTTTGATCCTGATGAAACCCTTCACTTGAAGTATCAGCTAATGGCCTTTCCATCTCTTCTTACCAGTAGTCAGAGCGAGTTTTTAATATTTGAATCATGAAGCTCCTCTGTAAAATCTAACCTTCCTAGAATGAAAGCCAAGTAATTCCCAACTCTGGCCGCTCCCACCTCGCAACCATCTCCTCTGACTCTGCGCCAGGCCAGTCTACCTCAGGACTTTTGCACCAGCGGGACTTTCTGGCTGAACCATTCTTCTTGTAGATCTCATCCTTCAGGTCTCCGGTCTAATGTCATCTCTGCAGACTCGACTTCTCTGATCACCTAACATCGCCCCATTTCCTCTCGACCACAAACCTGGCTTTGTGTATCAAGACACTCATCTCTGTGCAAAGTTCCCCTGCTCGGTAGCAGTTGACTTGCTTCCTCTGTTCCTCACTGTGGTGTTCCATGGGGTGGGGACCTCAACTTCCTGTCTGTGTCCCAAGCATCTGACATTTGTTTGGGGAGGAGGGACCAGAGATGTTCAAGCCGCTTGTGGCTTGCAAAACACAGCTTTTGTTCATTTGTAAAACTCCACCAGTTCTGCTGAGGGCTGGCCTAGAACCAGCCAGGCTCTGGTGTCCCCCAGAGACATGATGCTGGTGATGGGGGAATCTTTGGAGTGATGACTAGTTATAAAATAAGCAAATGGCCCTATGTTATGATTGCTAAAACCTTTTCCCGGCAGCCCTGCCTGGGGAATGGCCTCACACAGTTTCTTGGGCCTTTCCTTCTTGGATTTAGCTAATGGAGGAAATCAATGACCCATTTAACTTTCTAAAATGTCCTAAAGAGTTGTCAGTGGGGAAGAATGGCTGTTTACCACATCTGCAATGGATCATTGACTCTTAACCTTGTCAGCAAGTTTCCTGGTAAAATTAGTCCTGGTTTTATTCCTGGGAGAGAATGCAGCGTAAGAATTTGGGATCCAGAGTGAGGCCAAACTGGATGTCTGATGAAATTCACTAGCTCAGAGATGCCCCCTGACCCCTGCTGTCTGCCTGTCACCCTTCCAGCTCTCCTCCCCAGCCATCGGCGGACACATCCTCTCCCTAGTGTTGCTGCGTGGTATTGTGTTATGTGTCTGATTTATGTTTATCTTCCATCTCCACCATTAATGTAAATTTCATGAAAAAAAGACACCGAGTCAATTTGGTTCAATGCTGTCTTCCTTGACTGACAGGTTATTGCTAAATGAGCCTGTGAGTCCTCAGAAGGTTCCAGAAAACAAGGCAACAAGGCCTCCTTCCATCTCATAGATTCCGAGTTTGAGGGTCCTCAGGGTCACGCTCTGCCACCACTGAGGACACAGTCAGGAAGAGACCACCCCTCAGAGTCACACACGCTCTCCGACAGAGTGTGGGCGCCTTGACGGCTGACTGACGTGGGGTCAGCCAAAGATAACCCTGAGCTGGAGTCACCAACAGGGTCACAGTCCTGGCTGTGCAGAGCCTCCGCTTCCAGCACAGTCAACACCAGACCACAGTGTTGCTCGCATTTGTTTCCCAACGGCCCGGCAGCCTGGAGTTAGCCCATCTTGCAGATGAAAAATGGCTGCTCAAAGCAGGGAAAGGGGTGAATCGATGGCCACCCTCGAATGCCCACCTAGAGAACAGCACAGTGGCCACAGGGAACGAGCAGCTTCCAAATTCTGAGTCGGCTGCTTACAGCACTCAGGCCGCGCAGGCAAGTTGCTTAACCTCCTTCATGTTTTCCAACGAGAAAAACCCAACTGAAAGTGGCCTTCACAAAGGGGGATTTTGCTGGCTCCCGAAACTGGGAAGTCCAAAGGTGGCTTGGTGCAGGCATGGACACATCCAGGGGCTCAGACGATGTCACCATGGCTCTCCTCTCCTCAGTTCTCCTATCTGCTTCCCTCTGGGTAATCTTCACTTTCAGGCAGGCTTTCCTCCGGGGGTCAGCAAGATGACCCCGCAATTCCAGGTTCAGATCTTGCTAGCTCAGCCACACAATGGAGGGAATATTTCTTTTCCCTGATGGTCCCAGCCCAGTCCTGGCCTTAAATCTCATCGGTCCGATGGAGTCTCCAGACCATCGCTAACTCAGTCTCGCTGTCCATGGAAAATGTGGAAACGAGGCCCAGAGAGGTCAACCCCTTAACCAAAGTCACACAGCTATTAGTGCTGCGGCGGGTTTAGAAATAGGCAACCTGGTTTCAGCATCTCTGCATTCAGCCGTGACACTCTCCAAGAACTCCCACGAGTTCTCAACATATCACAGTGATGAGGAGATAATAATGATGATGGCTCACACCAGCCTTGCAAAGACTACACTGTGATTATCCCCATTTGAAGGGAGGCACAGAAAGGCCAGGCTAAGGCCTGGGGGAGCCACGGTTAGAAGCCAGTTGTGCCTAGCTGCTGCGCTCAGCCGGATGTGTGAGTTCTGTTCTGGCTCAGCTGACGGGAAGGGTGAAGACCCCCCATCTTTCACCACCAGAAAAGAGTTTCGATTCTACCCCAGGTCATTAAAAGCAAAACAAATAAAGATGTAAATATAGTCCTGTCCTGGGCGAGTGACAGCCCTGGGGCGGGGTGGCGGTGGGGGCAGAGGGGAAATGTCCTCAGGGAACTAGGGGAATCACGTGGGTTCTGAGAAATGAGGGGCAGGGGGCAGGGCAAGGTACGAGGGGGGAAGTCAGGCCCAAGGATGGAAACTAGACTTGTGACCCCTTGCTTTGCACAAAGGAGGCGTCTGGGAGCATTTCCAGAAGCCACTGCACCTACCCTCCGTCCAATTTAGAGGACAGTCATGGGGAACACTCCTGGCGCGAGTGGGCACAGGTGCTGGCAGGTGACTGATACGGGCTGGTCCCCTACCAGCTCTGATTCTTGGTTTTCCATCTTCTCCACAAGGCAAGGGTGGGTTGGGTTGATGAGACGCTGTCTCTGTTCACAGCAAGGACTTGGTAATACTACGACTGTGTGGGCTGCCGAGTGAAAAAGCTGACTACCGTGTGTCTGCAGGTGTTTTCACGGTCTCTGTTGCAACCTGCTGGTTTCCATCCGACTCCTCGTTCTGCAGCTGGAGGCAGGCAAGGCCAGCGTCGTGGGCGTGTGGCCTGTGCAGTCAGCCGCCCCCCACTGTTTCCTAACCCGGCCTTGTAGTCTTCACGGGCTTAATAATTTTAGAACAAGGGGGCCTGCTAGCAAAGTATATAGCCACTCCTGAGGTAAGGTTCAGATTTTCAGAGTCTTGAAGAGGGTGAGATGCTCTTTCTGCCTTTGAAGGTGCAAATAGTCTTCCCCTTTATTCTGGAAGGAGCCCTCTGCTCTTGGAGGAAGTCCTAAAAGGGTGGCATTTCCAGAGACAGGTTCCTCACCTTGAGTTGTTTACTGTTGCTTAGTACCAGTAATTACAAAAGCTACACGGTGGGGTGGGGCGTCAGCCGTGGGCCGTGCTAAGCCAGCACTTGACAGCCCTCCCTCTGGAGAGCTTCCCAAGGGCTCCGCTGAGGGTCTGTCAGTAACCTCATTCCAGGGGTGTGGGAACAGGCCCAGAGTGGCTATGTAACTTGTCCAGGATCACACAGTAGCCTGGTGGGAAGGTCTCCAAATTGAGTGGGTGGGTAGCCAGACTGAAGCCTTTGAGGGAAAAGGAGTTCATTTCTAAACTTAGCATTTCGCTAGAAGTATTCCTGGCTCCCTGGCAGAGATGTGTCTTTCTGATCAAGCAGTTGCTCCAGTAGCTTTGATCCTGGGAGGTAAGAAATGGTCTTCCTCATGGGACTGGCTCCAGAGAGGGAAGTGCTGGCTGTCTCCCCCTACCCCCATTATCCCCCTCCAAGCTTGGGGGGCACTGTGGAGTAGGAAGCCCCCCCAACATTGGAGTGACTGAGCAGAGGCTCCCAGACTTGGGGGGTGTGCTTACCGCTCTCTTGCCAGCTTCCCCATACGGGAGGAAGCTTTCCTCTGAAGGAGCTGGAGATTCCCCTTGCCCATGGGGAGTCAGCATGGAAGAGGGGGGCTCCAAATGCCAGAGAGAAAGGATCAGGAAGCTCCCATCTATGGCCATCAGACCAGCCCTGCAACATGGCGGTGGTGGCTGGGAGAGAGAGGAGGGTTAAGATGGAGGGAGCGGAAGCTCCATGCGGATGTGTGGGCTCTAGAAGGTATTTCTTGACGGTTCCGTTTTGCATGTTTATCTTCCATATTACAGTGCTCGCCTGCTATTCAAAGGACTTGAATGCAAGTTTGTTCCCTCCATTCTGCTTCTTGCAATGTGGATGTAGTGGGCTCCATCCCGAACTGTGCAGGCAAGGACAACAGACCAGGGTGGATGGAAGAGAACAAGCTGGAAGGAGCCACAGAATTCTGACCCCATGGAAGTGACCCATCACCTCCAGACCGATCACACACAGCCCGGGTGAGAAAGACATGACTGAGACATACATACGAAGGGCTGTTACTTAGCATGAATACATGTAAACTTACACCAGGCCGTAACACACTAGGGCCTTTGTTTAAGCCACCATTAATGGGGGTCTCAATTACAGTTAACCCCACCCCACTGAGGAGCTGTTAAGAAAGAGGGTGGGATACCACCTCCAGGTCAAGATGGTTTGGAGTGAGGAGCGGTCACCAGGGATAGTTAGTAAGAGATGGCGGACATGGCAGTACAGCGCCAAGAGGTGGCTTAGTATTATTGCCAAGCAACCACGGGACTGGTCCATGGGACACATGAAGATCCCCCAGAGATTCTGAGTAATACCCTGCAGAAAGAACCTGATAAAAGTTGTTCTTCTTAGAGTCATGAGATCCTACTGTTCGCTAGATATTAAAGGGGAAGCTGGAAATTTTGGGGACTGTGGGGCTTTTAAACAGTGCCCAGTGAATGTTAATTCCCTTCTGAGGCAGCTACTCTTGGGGCATGAGGCCAAATCTGCCCAGGAGTGTCTGGAAAAGGTTTCTCCCTGCTGCAAAAGGGTGGCAGGAAACAAGCTGTTCTTCCCTGGGCGGACGGGAGAGAGAAAGCCCCTGCGTCCACGGTACCAGAGAGGCATCCCTGGAACCTCCTAGCTCTGGGCTTATTTCTTCGTAAAGGGTAAATGTTTTTGTTGTTGAACCCACTCCACTTGGTTTTTTGTGACCTGCAGCCAGGCACACGCTCACTCATTGTTACACCAGTGGTCGGAAGTTTCGCTCTATGCCTCCTGCAGCTTCTCTATCACTTTGGAAGTCAAGATCTTTTGGAAACTATCTGTCAGTGTGTCTCCACCCTGCCCTTCTAAAGAAGCATCCCTTGTCATTCCATACTTCTTCATTTGAGGAGCCAGAGCTGCATTTGGTGGGGTAAAAGTAGACCTCTGCCAGCGTGCAGATCTTCATTTGGGCATGGGCCGATCCTCTTGTACTGGACCTACAAGATCCTGTGTACCCCTCTCAGCCAGTGGGGAGCTCAGACTGTACACTCTTCACCTCGGTATCCACCCAGCGTGGCCCAGGCCCTGGGCGGCAGGAGGTGTTTCCTGCATGCTTGTCGAATGAATGTGTGACATAATGAATCATCTCAACCCAATTTTATCACCTCCCTAGACAGTCAATTTCCCTCCCCACTGTCCTGCTACATCACTCTAGGACAAGACAGCTCTTGCAAAGATGGAGCCAGGAAGAAGTTAATCCAATTCTTAATTCCAAAGAAGCTTCTAATCCTTCTCTCCCTAAATTACCTTTAATCCGCTCAGTCATCTTCAGCTCCAATTCAGTTCTGAGCTGGCTCTTCCAGGCCTTCTCCAAAAAAAGAAGGAAGGAGGGAGAGAAGAAAACTGTGTTTGCATTAAATCATTTCAAGAAACACAGACACAGTGAGATGTAATTCCAAGAAGGTGTTCTCTTTACTCAGGATTATAAGTTCTGGCATTGGGTCGGACACTTTTATTTGTCTTAATTCATTTTCTAATCACAAAATCATTCTAATCATACACTTAATGAAGACATCTTGACATGTACGCGTGAACTAGACAATGTGGGCTTTTGAGTCTCACTGTTTTCAGTGGTCCCCCAAAGCAGTTGGTCTGTGTGTTTTCACATTCATTTCCTCTCTCGGTCTCTTCAGCTTTCTCTCGATCTCCCTTTCATCCCATCCTTTCCCTACCTTTAGTCCTGCCTGCCTGCCTGCCTCTCACCCTGTCTCTCTCCTCTTAATCATGGCCACTCAGAACAACACCTACTGCTGTCTCTGTGTCTCGTCCTCCCTCCATCAAACTGAAATGTTTCCAAGTTCTTCAGCCTTCAGAGGAGGCCCACTCTCCTGGTAGCAACCCCGTATGGTGAAGCTTCTGGAAATCAAGTCCCTTCTCCTCCACATGACTTTGAGAAATCTGAACATATTTTCCTCAAGCTCTGCTTGTCTCCTGTTTTGCTCGAATTGTTGCTTCCACCATTGAGCTTTAGTATAAGCTCTAAATTAATGCTTCAACAGACCAGAATTTCCCCCCACCCAGAATAAGCAGCCTGGATTAGGGGCTCACTTACCGTGGGCTGAGCTGCCCAGTACCCCGTGGTTCTCTGGCCACAAGAGTTGGCTCAGCTCATCTGGCATCTAGTCTGACCTTCAGAAGCAACACTCAACCAAAGGCAAATGAAAGTTTCTGGATACATAGCTTACCTCCCTGGCCCTCAGGTAGGGAAAATCAGAGGCCTGGTCTTCACAGGACCCAGAGACCCCCAATAGGTTGCCATGGTGTCAAGCTGTTGCTCCCTTCCCAGCCTCATCTCCCCTTCCCTGGGCTGGTGCGCCACAAGGCCTCCTATCCAACAAACTTCTTCACTCAAATCCTTGTCTCCCAGCTGGCTTGGGAGGGAGTCAGCCTAAGATAGCAGGTGCCTTTCCCATTTGTCCAACTAAAAGTCTTCAAATAGTGTCTTCTATGATCACACACTTGTGGCATCTTTAAACCAGTAGTGCACCCCAACTGCTAGAGCTCATGATGTCAAGAATGTTGGATTGGCATCAAGGGGTCCCCCATTGTACCTGCATTGTGCCACTCCAGGCTCTTAACCTGTACAATAAAGTGATATCAGGACCTTCTGAGTTGTCAGTCTAAGTTCAGAGATCCTGCAGCAGTTGGGGTCTGCCACCCCCATCCAGGACTGGCCATGAAGCCATTTCAGGGAATGGCGCCCACATCTACTCCAACCCCCAACCCAGCTCCAAGTCCCTCGTGTCACACGTGGAGCCTGACCTGGGAGGTGACAGGGGGAGGTAGCTACAGAAGAACTTTGTATTAAATGAGATGGAAGATTTTTTCCGACACAATTTTATTATAATATAATCTTCTACCATGCTATGAAGTGATATGATGGGCACATATTGTAATACATGGTAAAGAGTCCCTCTGCAAGTGCACCATGTAAAACATTGCCACAAGCTGAACCTCCTCATAAACTGGCACCTGAAATCTAGCAGCCTTGACAAAGCTGCTTTGTTACCCCTTCTAGTCACTCTCTTGCTGGAGGACACCCTCCTCCTCCCCGCCCTGACATCTCACACCCCGGATCTGTCCTACCCAGTAGGCACGCCCCGTGCACACTCACTCACATCTGCTCCCTGCGGTGCCAGGCACTCCGTGACCAAGGTGCATCTGTGCTGGGTGTGGCCGTGCTCCCCTGGGGATACTGACATTTTCATTTGAGAAGTTCTGAGTTTTAAGAGCCCACAGGAGCCTGAGGAGTCAGGGATTGCAGATGTCAGCAGAGGAAGCTTGTCTCTTAGAAGAGGCAGGGTTTGGGCAGACAACTTCCTTCTTTTTCTGTTTCTGTGCATGGGGGACAATGTTGGCTCCTACCTCCTCGGCCCTGGTTGTGTGAGGGGGAACACGGCAGGTGCCAAGGACCTGTTGGAGCAGTGGAGGAGCCAGCTGTTAGTTCTCCTGCTGCCCCGGGGCCCATACTACCATTACTCTGTGATTTGTATTAGTACCCACGGGGGAAGGAGGTTTCAACAAGAATATTTGGTAGTAGTTATTATAAAAATAAGATGATTTCATCATTACACTTCAACAAGTAGCAACAGATCACAAAACCGGTTAGACATGTGTCTGCTCAGGTAAGGATACATCAACCCTGAGAAGTTAATAGGATGATCTTCACTGGGCCAATGAGGCAACTGAGGCTTGGATGGAAAAGCAACTCCTTCCGGGTCACTGAGCAAGTTGGCAGTAGAGCTAGAGAATCCTGTTCTTCACACCCTTTTATCTAATTCTCATCTCATCTCAGCTAGTCCCCCTTGGGGTGCATGGGGTCATCACCCCACGCTGTCCTTGGCACACCCTCATGGTACGGTGCTGCCTTCAGAACGTCTGGGAACATCTGTTGTGCTGATTTTCCATCAGCCTGTTCGGACGGGGCCCAGTCTGTCTTCTGGGTCTTAGAAGCAGCATTTGGGGGATCCCAGGTGAGTCAGCCATTACAACAGGTCCTCAGGTAACCCCGCGGTGGGAGAGATGGTATTTGGGAATATTTGCGCATTTTTGCTGAAATTAGTCAACTGGAGTAACAAAATCTCCCCTTGTAAATCATGAGGTTGACTGTGACCAATAGGACAAGAAGAAGAATGTATGGAATGTATGGAAAGGGTACAGGACACTTTATAGAGATGGAGAGAGAAAGCTCCAGAAGCAAGTTTAAAAAGAAGCTGGATTCTAAGAGTTGGCAGTGGGCCCCGCAGGTGTCTGGCCACCAGTCACTCTACCTGTACCTGCTTAGCCTGACGACTCTAAAATGGGACTCAGCAACCTCCGTACTGTTCATGTTGGGGCGTATGGGGGGAGGAACTACCCTCACCGTTGGGTATGTAGCTGCATACAATCATCTTCCCCAGGGAATCTCTGGCCAGTGTTTTCTTTAGTTTTGATGTGTCACTTGGGATGTTTTGCTGCAAGTAACAGAAAACTCATCCGACACTGGCTTAAGCGGTAAAGGAGTTGGGTGGCACAACTCCGAGGCTGGTGACTTTGAGGTTCAAGAATATAATTGAGACCCCGGGTTCTCTCTTGCTTCTCTCCACTTTTCACACATGTTGGTTTCACCTGAAAGCTGGCTCTGTCTGTGCTGCCAACAGTCATCAGACTGTGAAATCTAGTAAGGGAGAAAGTGGCTTCTCCTGGGTTTCTCCTAAGAGAAAGAGATCCTTGCTGCCAGACACTTCCAGAAGTCTGTCCTGGCATCCCATTGGCCAAGCTGGTTTGCACCTGCTCATTCCTGAACCAATCACCAGCAAGAAAGTCACACAGGGTGACTTTGACCCCTAGAGGACATCTGGCAGCATGGGAGGCATTTGGGGTCCCACACCTAGTAAAGTCAGTGGCATCGTGGGTGGAAGTTAGGGATGCAGGTAAATACCCTACAATGAGCTCCTCTCCTCTCATACACCATGGAAAATGACCCCCAAAATGGCAATTGTGCAAAGGGTGCTAAGTCTTGGTTTAGCCTAATCAGGTCCTCCCTGCACCTGGGTAGTTGGTGCCAGACACCTACAATGTCCACTGCAAACTTTTTTTCTTAATTCCTTTTTATCACAGTTAGAGATTTGAATTTTAGAGAGGGTTTCCTCGGCTTTTCCACTCATACAACAGTGGAGGGCAAGGCACCACAGGGAGTCAGTAGGGGTGTTAAATAAGCAGAAGAAATGAAATGTGGGGAGGGGATGCACCTCCTCTTCTCCAAGAAAGTTAAGCTTATGATGCTTCTAAAGAGGCAAGTTTCGTGTCCTAACTGAAATCCACAACACCATGACGAGTTTTGTTAATGGAAAGAAGGACACATCCCAGATGATCTGAGGGGGGAGGGAAGAGGAATGGGTAGAAGAAGACAGAGATATACATTAGTTTGACCTCAAAAGTGGTGGCCGCTGTCACTTACATCTTTCCGTGTACGTGTGTGGCTCTCCTTGAGGTCTGAGGTCTACTATTCCTGCGCCTGGAATCTGGAATGATCTTGATCTCAGTATTTTGGAACATGGTGGAAATGCTGCTGGACTAGTTCTGAGCTTCCTGCCTCAAGAAGCGCTGTGCCAGTGAAGGGAAGCCAGGCCATTGCACTGGGAGAATGCTGGGAAGCCATCTTGGATGTCCAGCTAAAGTCAAGATGACATCAGCCCCCATGGCCACCTACCTGACACCACGTGAGAGACACCAGGTACGGACCACTCGGCTGAGTCCAGTCGACCCACAGTTCTGTGAGTGATGATAAACTGTTCTTTTTAGGCCACTAAATTTTGGGGTCATTTGTCATGAAGCAATTGATACCCAGGACAACACATCATACACATGCCTAACGAAGATTTTCTACTTTCCGGCCTCCCCAGTGGTGCAGGAGTTAAGTCTCAGCACTGTGAAGCTATCACCAGCCACTGCAGCACAAGTTTGATCTGTGGGGAGTCGACCCACCTGGTGCAGCAGACCTCTCCTGCCTCCCCACTGCTCCCCTCAGCTGTGTATTTCAACCAGTTGCCTGTTCTGCTCCCCACTCTCTTACAAATCCCCCCATACACACCCCCACCTCTGGCGTGTCCCCCAGTTCTTGTATGCATACATAAATAAAATAAATCTTTAAAAAAGATATTTCTACTGTCATATTTACTAAAACTTTAATTAAAATAGGCTTATTATAAGAAAATGGGAAAATGTCATGAACAATGGAGAAATGAAACAGCACCCCTAGTTCCATGGATTTCACCCATCACCCCACTTAATCACTAGTAGCTTGCTGGGGTGTTTTCTTTTCATCCTCTTGTCTTTTTGCCCTTTACCATATGTCATCATCATTATTCTGAATTGCCACAGTTTTTGTAACTAGCAACCTATACTAATAATGCTATTAATAGCTACTGCTGTAGATGGCTTCCCCAGAGATGTGAGTGTGCTAATCCCTTGAACTTGCAGGTACGTTATTGGATATTACAAAAAGGACTGGAGGCATGATTAGATTAAGGCTCTTGAGATGGGGAGATTATCTGGATTGTCTGGTGGGCCCAACAGAACCACAATGATCCCTATAAAAGGGAACACGAGAGCCAGAGTTTGGGAAAGGGAGGGGAGGGAGGCGGCAGGGCCAGCGAGAGAGGCTGGAAGATGCCAGATACTGGCTGGAAGATGCAGGATGTGCCACAGACCACGTGATCCAGCCGGCTGCTAGAAGCCCCTGCAAGGAGATGTTCAACACCCTAGAGCCTCAGAAGGAATGAAGCTCTGCAACACCTGGATTTTAGCTCCAGCTGGCCCACTGCAGGCCCACTTTGGATTTCTGAAGGCTGGGACAATAAGATAATAAGTTTGTGCTGCTTTTAAGCCACTGATCCTGTGATCGTGTTACAGCACAGGAGGAAATCCCACAGTTCCCTCTCTGCCCAGGGAGATGGTGCCCATCTCATCTAATGGCCCCGACACCCCTAGGGGCAGGTACCTTACCTCTCTGCTTTAGGAATGAGGAAGCTGGCACCCAGCAGGGGTGCAGGGGGATTTCTCAGGCCACGCGGTTACTAGAGGGCAGAGCCAGGGACAAGAGTGGCCCTGCCATGTATGGTAGCGCTTACTAATACTGGCCCTTCAGGGTTTACTTGGACTCGTGTAAATAGAGATACGGCTCTATGCCTCTGTCACGCTGTGATCTTTTTATGATCACTTGTTTCCCTGTTAACATTGTGACTTCTGTGTAAGTCCCCCCAGGAAATCAGTGAAACTACTGTTTTCAAATTGCCAAGGGTCACCTCTCCTGAGGTCTTGACACAGGTGTCTCATTTCAAAAGGTGAAATTCCAGTTCACTAAGGGACCGGGTGGGCCAGACACTGTGGAAAAGCTGCTGGGTCTTAACTGCTGTGTCAAGCTCTTGCTTTTGAGGCCAGGCCTTAGTGACACAGTTAGAGGGCTGTGGAGCCTCCAGATGGAGTCAAGGCCCAGTGTGAAGCTGGCCAAGATTCCAGCAACCATGGTCCTTTCTACTCTGTTGAGCTGTCCCTGCTCCCACAAGGTTGGTCTAAACTCACTAAGATGGGGGTGAGTCCTGATGGTGTCCCCCACAATGCTTGCATGCCTGTTTGAAGCAATCTTTTTATTACGATTTTATGCAAAGCAGTCATGCATCGCATCTTCACCAAATCCTGCTTTTCCATCAATTCTCCTTCCTGCTTAAGAAAGCGCCACCTAGATGGTGCTGGGTTCTCACGCCCTCTGCCAGAGACCCCTCCGCTCCCCCGACCAGCACTCACTGTTTGCTTCAGAATGCTCAGGCGGCTTGATTCTACCCCACCCCCAACTGTGTAACTATGGTCCCATAGGGTCTTCTGGAATAATTTCTTCTTAAACAATGAAGACACCTTCACTTACCTACAGGAAAACGAATACTGTTAGTAGACAGTTTGCACACATCCCCTGCAACGGCAGCCCAAAACGGGCAACGGGCAGGGGCGGAGGGCCCAACGCCCAGTGCCCGTCGGCCAGTGCCTGTCCTCCAAGGGCTGCCTTCCCTGCGGCCTCTGCCTTCTTATCAGCCACGATTCCCTTCTGTGTACGCAGTGGTGTACTGTCCCTGCTCTCACGTAACCCCCACGGGGCTGGGGCCTGGTCGGTCTTGTTCTCTGCCGATTGCAGAAAATAGATGCTTCATGCCTGTGAGGAATGAGTCACAGAACAAACGAAAACTGTCTTTCATCGCTCAAGGCTGAGGATACAGGAAGGTTTCTCTCGCTCTGTGTGGATAACTCTCGAAATCAGAGGAAATTAGTGGGAGAGGGAGTGGCAGGGAGGGAAAACAGTGACTTTGACCTTGTGGGAACCAGAGCTGAAATTGCCACCCTGCCACTTCAGTGCACCCGAGCGCCTGCCCCATTCCCGCTCTGATCCTGGTTTTCTTAGTGGTACACTGGGGCTTAGCAAGGGTGGGCCGACATGAGTCACGAATGCCGAGAGCCCCACACTTGTCAGGCCCTGCTCTGCCCTCTTCCCTGTCGGCTCCTCTCGAGTGGCCTGTCCCACATCGGGGCCCTGTTGCCTGCAGCTGTGCCAGCCCAGGTTTTCCAGCCTCCCGGGACTCAAGCATGAGCCCTGCAGAAGGGCTCAAAGGGGAGTGCCTGAAGTTGGTGCCCTGAGGCCCCGATCCCTGACTGAGCCCCAGATCCAGTAAAGGCAAGCAGCTCCCTGATACCCTTTTCCTAGCTCATTCCCAGCCCCTCGTCCTCCCTGGGGTGGCCCCCCAAAGACAGGAGTTACATGCAGGAAGAGCCAGTTGCTGTATTTGCACCTCACGGGCCGATGCATGGAGAGGGTGTATGGGTACCCCACTCCCTGGGCCCGCCAGGACAGAAACACTCACACCTGGCCCCACCTGGTGAGAGGAAACTCCAGGTGGCCACAGCCCTGAGAACCTGCTTCACCTGAGCTGGCTTCCCTCCCCTGGCTCGCCTTTTGCTTCTCTTTTGCCTTGACCTTCCAATCTGTCCTTGAATCTGTCTCTAGGCCTGCTCTGGGGAAACCCAAACGAAGACACAAAATCTGTTATCGGGGATTTCCAGAGTAAGAGACCAGTAGAGCTAATTGCAAACAAGCTTGCTTTAAAGTGTCCCCAAAGAACATGCCGTTCTTGAGTGAAACAGCTTCCCTACAAGAACTCCAGGGAGTGGAAGTGGGCGACCCCCAGCCCCCAGAAGGAAGGACCTCATCAGCCCATGGGAATGAACCAGCCTCACCCCCACCCTTTGGTACCGAGTGACCCCCTTACTGTCCTGTGGACGCCGCTGTTGTGTTTCACGGAAAGTTCCCAAAACACAGAGCATTCTCTGTCGGAACCCCTGAACACGTTCCGTAAGTCTCCAAGGGGTATTGCTTGTTCCTATTTTTATTTCATCACTATGGAGTCAGTCTTGCAGGGTGCTGGCTGGCGGGAAGACCTCATCTGGCTCAGCACTTTCATCTGCTGAAAAGAGGTCTGGCAAAGTAGAAATCCCACAACAGCCCTGATACTTTACGCTGCATTCTAGAAGTTGGGTCTTTTCACCCCGTCTGGCTGTGTTGACTGAGCCACATACCCTGCACGGCCCTGGAAGCTGTGCATACGCCCCCTTTCTGGAAGCACTCTCTTCCTGAGCTCCCCCTGACACTCCACCTGACAAAGAGCTTGGACTGACCTCCAATCAGACCAGCTCACCATGTAGGCATCACGCGACACACGGTTCAGTCGGCTCTCACGAGGGTTTGTCTGGCTCTCGGGAAGACAAGCTCTCCCAGCGGGGTTGAGGTGCTGGCGTGTGACCCTGGCTTAGGGAACATCTTCATCCCAGACGTGTTTGGGGTGTTCAGTTTTTACTTTTCCCCCACCAAACACTGCTCCCTACTGACTTAGGCTGAATCTCCTTGGAGAACAGTTTCCTTCACCGGACTTTTGAACAGTCTGGAACTTTCACATCATTATTACTTGTTTTAAAAATCTCAGTCCCAAGTTTCCCCCCATCTGAATAAATACCTAGTTGCAATCTCATCAAGATATCTATTCCCTCGGTATAAAAACCAAAATGACTGGCTTGAGCGAGACCCACGCTTCACCCTCTTCGAACTGCCCAGGGCCAGCGCCCACTCGGCCTTGGTGGCTTGTTGCTGTCTGGCCCCAGATTCTTGCTGCCCTCGATGTCTGGCTTCCACAGGGGCTGCCCTCGCGCCCACCTTCCTTCCTGCCAGTGGGAAGGGGGAGAGCAAACCTTTGTTTCCTCCAGTGGACAATCCAGAAGCTTGAAGCCACGGAGCGCAGATGCAAGCCTTCTCGACGCTGCAATTCCCGCTGCGCGGTGACAAAGAGCTCTCTAGCCTTCTGGCTTCTGACTGACTGACCAGAGACGCTGGAGGGCGACAGAGGAGGGGAGCTGATTAGGTCTGGCGTTCATCCCCTCAGCTCCCCTGTTGGGTCACCATGGCCTCCTGCACCCCTAAGTGAAGGTCACAGCTCCCGTCAACCTGCCAGTCCACAGGGTTCCTTCTCGCTCGCTGAGTCCACCTCCTCCTCTACCCCCTCAGGCCTAGCTCTCCTGTGGCCCTGCGAAGGAGTGGGCAGTGACACCCCGTCATAGGGACCCTGAGCTGTCAGGGGCTCAGCAGCCCCCACCCATACTGTGGTAACAACCCACTCATAAAACCCTCCTGCTGGGTCCCTGGCAGTCGGGGACCTTGCTAACCCCAGAGGCAGCAGGTGTCTTGTCACCCCTCATCCCGGCCTTACAGATGAGAAACCGAGGGGCAGAGAGGTAAAGGAGCCGCCTAGCCTCACACAGCTGCTAACGGGTGGCACCGGCGTGAACGAGATGGTCTGGCACCAGCCGCCGCCTCCTCTACCCATGGGAGAAGTGAGGGAAAAGGACCAGGCTGTGAACTAGCCTCTAGGCCATCACTGACCCTCAGTTCTTCATCTCTTATCCTGAGGGTGGACCAGCCTGGGGCACGCTGACCCCAACACCCCCGGGCCAGTGAGTGCCCACCCAGGGCGGAGGGGCCCTGCCACTGAGAAACGGGCTTCCTCCTGCCCGTTAAACACAAGCCCTCAGCGCCCATGGCTCCTTCCCCTGGGACACAGGGAACGAGGCAGGAAGATAAATTACTTTGAAACCATCCTTGGTGGGCAGCCACAGAGACGTGTCTCCAGGGACTTGAACACGTGCGAGATGTATTTCTATCACACAAAGCTGGTCTTTCAGTTACATGTGGAATCGACGAAAATGAAAACTAAATACCCAGCTCAGAGGTGGATATACAGAACAGATGGGCGCTGTGGGGTGGGGGTGGGGGTCACTGAATGGGGTCCAAAGGTATCAATTTCTGTAAGTATCACAGGATGTCACCCCCAGCATGGTGACGCCAGTTAATACCGCTGCCCTGAGCAGTTGGAAGTTGCTAAGAGAGCAGAGCTTGTGATGAGAACTCGCACGACGAGCAAAAGCTGTAAGTACATATGGTGACAGATGTTCATGAGGCTGGTGGCTGTGGTTGTTTTGTAATATAGATAAATGTTGAAGCGCGGTGTTGACCACCCAAAGCTGATATAATGTGGCATGCCAGCTAGACTGCTGCAAAAAGACAAGCAAGACACTGTGCAAGCCACTGCCCCAGTGCACCTGTGTCGCAACACAGGGCCCCTTTCCTTCCACAGGAGGCACACAACATCCCCCCCCAAAACTGCCTGAGCTGCAGTCGCCTGTCTGCCTTGTTGGGAGCAGGGAGGAGAGAGGCAGGGAACCCCAGGGCTTTCCCGGAAGCCCCACCATAAGCCCCAATGCCTCTGCCACTCAGCTGGGCGTGAGGGACACGGCTGGTCTGCAGGTGAGTGTCCTGCACCCTGGTCTCAGGGCCAGTGTCCCTGCCTGGCGGGCTGCTGAGCAGCAGTACCACCTCTACCCACTAGGTGTCAGTAGCACCCCCTCCCCAGCTGTGACGAGCAAAAACCGTCTCTAGATATTGCTAAGTGCCCCAGAATGAGAACTACTGGGGCACCCTCAGAGTCAAAGGGAAACTGGGAAACGTGCCCCTTGCACTTACTGCCACCTGCCCCCACCCCCAGCAGTGTGGGAATTTCTGTTCGTAAGAAAGAAGTGACTGGACATTTTGATGGCGAGTAACAGTCTTTGCTTCAAGGGAACTTTCCTGTTACTTCTACGAAAAGAGTTAACGGCGACACCAGCGTGGTGACAGTCTTAGTGCTGGGGGTAGTAGGGAATGGTGAGGACTGTGGCGAACAGAGAGCCATGCTCCCCTGGAACGTTTCTAGCTGTGCTGTGGAAAGGGAGCGTGAGACCTGAGTGACGAGAGCTTTTGATTTTTTAAGAATACCTGGAAATTCAGCTCCATTTTTAAATATAGCAACTGGTGTCATTTTTATAAAGATCTTTCTCCAAATCTGCAGTTTTCAGCAAGCAGTATATGATTTTTAAAAATCATTATGGAAAATTTTAAACATCTACAGCAACAGAGAAAATTGTACAGTCCACTCTCAGGCAGCCACCTTCAACGATTACCCACATTTTGCCAGTTTCATTTTTGTTCTCTTCCCTCACCCTGCTCTTTGCAAGTAATTTAGCGCCAATTGCCAGCTTCTTAACTCACTAACAAATACTTGGTAATCACTTTCAACAGAATGACATTGTCAAAGTTAACGACCAGATCTTGCTATGGGAAAAATGCTTTCTAGGGGGTCTCTTGCCTCGCTGGCTTCAGCTTTATTAACTAGGTCTCCTCTTGTCTCCTGGCCACCTCTCCCACCTCCGTCTCTCCTTTCACACACAAGACAGACACCCAGACAGCTGGAGAGACACAGGGAAGTGTACATACACGCGCGCACAGACTCACCAGGCATCACACACACACACTGCAGCACAGCGACACACACAGCTCACACACTCACACTCACGCCCTCCTCAAGCACGTCACCAGGAACACAGCACCTATCTTCAATTCAGACCTGCATGTAGTTTCATCTGGACTCGAGAACCAGAGCCCGTGGCTCCCACCCATATCCTGTCACTTTTCCTAGTGCTGACTGATTTTTGACCCTGAGCTGGCTCACTCACCCAGGCCTTCATTTTGTTTTGTGCAAAACAGGGAGAACAATTCCAGCTCACCTCCCGACAATGATGCAGGGAGTAACATAATTAAAGGATAAAATGCCCTTGTGCAAGGATTTAAGTGCTTAATAATTACCACAACAATAGCAGTGGCAAAGGGCAGTTACAGGCCCCAGTGCCAGCACGGAGTAGCCAGGGAGGCCCAGAGGGCTTTGCTGCTGGTCATCTTCTGCTACCAGACAGCCCAGGCGCGGAGCCCTCCTGTCCCCAGACCGTCTCCTCGCCTTCTATTAGTATGTGAAGGCGCTTTGGTGGCCTGGCAAGAGACGAGCTCCATATCTGAATTCCCATCAAGGCATTAAGGAGGAAAGCTGTTTTGCAGCTCAGTCCCTAAATTAGAGGATGATTTCTGGGTGTTAAAAATCTCGCTTTGGGCCCTCCCTGTTGGCGCAGCGGGTTAAAGCACTGCACTGAGAAACTAAGGCCACCTCCGCATGAGTTCGATTCCCGCCTGCCCCGGAGGCGACCACATGGTGTGGCAGACCTCTCCTGGCCCACCCGCTGCTCCCCTCAGCAGTGTACTTCATCGATCTGCCTGTTCTGCTCCCCACTCTGTCTCTGGTGAATCCTCTCACCCTCCGCATCTCTGGCCTATACCCCAGTTCTGTACGAATAAATAAATAAATCTTTAAAAAAAAAAAATCTCGCTTTATCTCGGCACCGTTTATACAGCTGCTGACCCTGCTCTCGGGGCCAGGGGAGGCCAGGGAGGCCAGGGAGGCCAGAGAGGCCTTTCTGTGTGCCCTTGATGGAGATGAACAAACAAGCCTTTGGCTTCTGCCACGGGTGTCCCCAAAATATTCAGGGGACGGATGCTATTTTTGGGGTTCAGCTTAAAGGCTGCCTTGCGGCTCCCCCGCCCCAATCTGGTTTTACTCTGAATATGCTTTCAAGTAGATCCTGCCCCAGCTTTCGTTCTTCCAGGAAACTTGACTTCTCCTGGGGTCATTTGAGTAAAATGTGAATCAGCTTCAATTCTTCTGGCTTTCTCTGGAGAGCCAAAGTCTCTTGACATTAAAAGAAAAAAAAAGTGTTTTCAAATCCCTTGATGGTTCATCCCTATTAGTGAGAAGAGAGGACAGTGGCTAAGTGCTTGAGCTACAAATTTAAGATGCCAGCTTTTAAAATCCAATTCTTCTTTGGGTTAGGTCTAGATCCTGCCCAAAGGCAGTTTCTGGCCGAGAGTCAATGGAAAATGAGGCATTTTCCTTTCCTGTTGTATTTTTTTAAATGCATATTGGAGGTGGGTGCTCTTTGAAGTGTATTTGCAAAATACTCTAAAGTGGAGAAGCAGCCATTTTTATTTCTGCAAAGAGAGCAAGATAATAATAGTGATGATGATGATGATGACGATGTAATGCAAGGACTGCGTGGCCCAGTGCCGCCTGGGCAGAGGCCTGCCTGGAGCTCACCACTAGCCTATCTCATTCATCTGCCCCACCACGATGATGCCGATGATGCCTAAGTAATTATTATCTGCATGGTGAGGATCCCACCTCTTCCAGGAAGCCCTCCCTGACTCCAGCCCCATGCCATCACCCCTGGCTGGGTGCTCTGTCCTTCGGGCCATTGGCCATCTCTCAGGCTCTAGTGGTGCTCTTTGAAGTGACTTGAGGGCAGAGCCCATGTCCTATTCAGCATCGGTATCCTAGAGGATCAGCCCAGAGTAGACACATAGTTAACATCTGCTGAGTGAACTGTATGAGAGTTTGGACGAATTACCTAACTTCTCTGAGCTTCATTTTCTCCTTTCTAAAACTGGGTCAACAATAATAACAGCAGCTAATGTTTATTAAGGCTCCATGTGGCAGAAATGGCTGGCTGATCTCCCAATATTCATTTCTTATTAAAAGATCCTGATTTTGTACTGGACAGCAATATTTTTTCCCATGGAGCTAGGGGAAAAGCAAGAAGAAATTGTGGGTGAGGCTGGTAGTTAACAGGTATACACCTTTTATCCCTCCTTACTTCCTCCTTTCTGCCTGGAATGTAGACACGATGGCTAGCACTCTTGCCAATACTTTGAAACATGAGGTCATTGTAAGGATGGTGGAGCAAAAAGATAGACACGTTGGAACCTCATGACTGTATTTAACATTCTTACCTTGGATGCTACACCTTTTGATTTCTTAAACTTGTATCAGTAGGGCGAGGGAGAAATAGGAAGCCAGCTTTATCTTAAGTTACATCTTTGGGCTTTCTGTTTTATATAATGAAATCTGATTCTAGCTGACCAGGTTTGGCCAGGACCCATGTCATGTGCTTATGATACATCTCAGTTATCCTCACAACACATTCTTAGGCAGGCTTCATCATTACCACTTCTATTTTATGGAGGCGGAAACAGAATCAAAGGGATCAAGTGACTTGGACTGGAAGCCGGCAGTCTTTCTCTAGAGCAGGGACTCGTGGCTGGCTGCATTATTTTGCCACCTTCCTTATGCTCGTGGGCAGGCCGTGGGAGCACTCTGGCGCTGCAAACCACTGGATGCATGTTCACTCCCTCCCTCACATACTCAGCAAGTCACTTCTTAACAAATACTTACCGAGCGCCAACTCCATAGACTTATGTTAGATTTAGGGATTATGAAAATAACCGAGATGGTTGGCTGCCCTCCAGGGAGCGCCCACTCTGAGTGCGCCAGGGACATGCACAGTGATACACGCTATAACTGCAGGGACACTACCCACACAGCACGAAAGTGTTTCTCAGATGCCCCGAGAGTGGCACAGTCCACAGGTTGCACCACTGTGTGTGCCACCCCGCCAGTGAGCGGAGCTGGGACGCAAGCCCGGGCCTCCAGTCTCCTACGTGAACGCTTTTCATCCTCTCCCCGTGATATCTGAATTCGCTCCCAGATCCCTTTTACCCTTTGTAGATGCCAGTGTCTTTTTTTCATGTTGGAAGCATTTCTCAGATGTCAGGGGCTCTTCGGGCTGCTGTTCCCGTTGGGGGGCCACTGCAAACTGACCTGGAAGCCCCATGTGTTTCCCTGTAATGTGGCTGGGCAGGGGGCCAGCCTTTCCATTCTGGGCCCCAAATGTCATTATCCATCAGTCTTCTTGCCGAACAGGTCCGCTTCTACTTCTCCACAGAGGGCTCCTGGGGTCGTGTCTGAGCCAGGCTGCCTGTGTTCTGGAAGCTGAGCTAGGGATGGGCTGACCCTTTTGCTCTTTGTACCTTGCCTACAGCCTACAAGGTCTGATGTCCCTATTACTCGCGTCCTCTGTATCCCGGTATCCCTAGGAGAAGCCCCCAGATCCTTGCCATGGTGGGAGGGACAGTCACCTGGCGGCACGGGCTGGCACAGGGGACTGAGGGCCTTTTATGCCAACTTCCAGCCTCACAAGGCGTCAGTGCCTCCAAGAAATGTTTTAAGTGGCAGACAGGACATTGACTAAAGTGTCTAAATTTAATTTTATATTTATTTAACAGGAGAAAAGAAAATGAATATGAAAATGAGAGACTTTTTGAACTGTCAAAGACAACATCTTTTATTCTGGAAAGGATTCACTTATTGAACTTTTTTCTCAAGTTAAGAAAAATGATTATAATAAGATGCTTAAAGCACCTGATTTTTTTGTTATTTTTTGCAGGGTTTCTATGCTGATGAAACTAGCCTAGTTATTCTTCAAAAATATTTTGAAATTGAGAGATAGTATAACTACCTTAGAGTAGTCAGGGTGCTTTTTATATATGTTTGCACCTGAGTAATCACCACCTGATTCTAAAGCATCTCAAGCCACCCCCAAACCTCCCTCCCTCCATCCCCTTCTCTATCGCTCCTCTCTCTCCCTTTCCCTCCACTCTGCTGTTAATGAACATCTGGGCCACTGCCAGTTTTGGGTTATTATGAATCAAGCTGTTGCAAACATTCTGGAACATGCTCTTGGTGTTTGTGTCCTCACACATGGAGCCCTGATTTGGGGTCCACACAGGATCTGCCTTGCCCTGTTGAACACGTCATCTCAGTTCTTATTGGCTCCCCCATTGCAGGCTCAACTCCCAATTGCCTACCCTGGAGTGCACCCCCCCAGCATCTGTGACCCCCTCTTCCCTAGTCTTGCAATTCAGGCCACACCGTCACCACCCACACAACATGAGACAGAAATCAGCTCCCCCCCCATCTCCCCTTTATTTCACTGCCCCCTCCAGCCGCATCTAAACCATAGATTCCAGCTTCAAAATCTCTCTCAAACGTGCTCACTCTTCGCCATGTCCACTGCCAATACCAGGCCCAGCCTCCCCCCCCCCCCCCAGATAGTCAGCCTTCAAATGGGTCTCCCTGCTTCCATCTCGCTTTCTGCAATAGCTACTCCAAATGGCAGCAAGATGCTCTTAAACGCGAACCAGATCATGTTCTTGGGAATGTCTTGCACTGCGCTTGGACCGAAGACCAGACTCCAAATGGTGGCCTATAGGGCATTGCGGCATCTGGCCACCACCTGCGCCAAGTCAGCTCTCCCAGGCACAGCCTGAACTCTTGAATTCACTGCCCTCTTTTTACCTTGGGGTCTTGTGTGTATCTTACACACTTCAGCAATGTGCATACCCGCGGAAGATATTGTTGCATATCCAAGCAAATATAAATATATATTCTTTCCCTCTCCAGTCCCTTAAAATGTTACAAGTGAGTCCGAGCTCTACTCATTGTTCTGGCTTGCTTTGGAAGTCCTGGCGTGAGCTGCGGGTGCACCAGTTCAAACACAGCTGCCTCCTTCCCTCCACTGCTCAAGAATACTCCATGTACAGACCAACAGCTATTAACTTATCCGGTCCTTTGTCCACAACCACTGTTTCTTTCTCTTTTGGCTATTTAAAACAATGTGACAGTGAATAACTGTCTACATACACTCTGACACATGTATGGTAAATTCCCCAAAGCCGACTTGCAGGGGATGCAGATACCAGCACGTTAAATTGAATGGATAGATAAGACCAAAGTCTTCTTTCTGCGGAGCAGACTGGCCGGCATTCACACGAGCGACGGAAGAGGGCGCTCTTGCCCTCACGCCTCTGCCAACACAGTGAGTCTCCCAGCTGGGAGTTTTGTTAACCGGATGGGGAAAATCTTTCTCTCTTGACATGTGAAACTGAACATTTTATTGCATAAAAAACATTTTTTTCCTCCTCTGTGAACTATCTTTTCTAACTCTTCCCATGGAGCTGTTGATTTCTTATTGTTTTGTAAGCGCTCTTTGTACAGTAGGTAAATTCCCCTGGTGACCAACCCAGATGAACCTCGTTTGTGTTTTGATGTTTATTTGAATAGATCTGTTCTTAGCCATACAGATTGTTTTCACCATTTTGATGCAGCCAAATTTATCTTTCACTTTAGAACATTTGAATTTGACTTCATTATTAAAATGATGCATTAGCATGTGAAGTTGCAAAAGATTTTGGCAGTTTTATTTCATGACATTTATGGTTTCACTTTATCTGTACAATCTATACTCTGCATGGACTTTTTCTGGCTTGGGTGTAAAGTAAGGAGGCAACTTGATTTTCCTGCCCCACCCACCCCTGGCTACCTGATGTTTCATTCCTTATCCTGCTCGCTGTGTTTAAATGTCACCTCTGGGACCACCATATTCCAAGTATAGCATATGTCAGTTCTTTACTGCACATGGAATTTATTGAAACTGATCATCTCAGAGACATTTGTTAGTCCCCCCTTTTTTTTTTTTTGGTTATCGCACAAGAAAAAGTCAACTCTCTGAGGACAGGGCCATGTCTTCCTTTTTGCCCTCAAGGCTCCTGCAGCGTTTGGTACCTGCTAGGTTGGTGGCAGACACGTGGGGCTCTCTTACCTCTGTTATGTGGTTTCCTTGTCCTGGAATCTCCATGTTCTTTGGGGCAACATCACACCTCACAGCTCTAATTCATGACCTGGGCGTACCAGAGACGGGTTTCAGGCGTGGGTGTGACCAATCAGTGGGCCCACCCCCTGGCAAGGGTGATTGGCTGAGATGAGCACAGGCCCCCCCCCCAATCGTGACCAATGAGATTCAACCTTAGGGTTGACAGGCATTCTTGAGCGGCATCCTCACAGGAAAATGTCTTTCTGTGCTTTCTGCAGGCTTTAACTTAAATGGAAAAAATGTACTAACGTCTTCACCTAAAAAAAGAAAAAAGAAAAGACAAAAATGACTATTATGCATCTTGTTCTGGCTCTTCATTTATTCATTTAATAATGTCAGCAGAAAAATGGACACAGGATATGAAACACAGATCACAGAGAAGGAAAGGCAATTAGCTCCTAAGCATGAAAGCATGTTCAACCTCCTATATAATAAGAAAAATGCAAATTAAAAGCACACCTATCATTATGGCAAAAAAGAGATCATTTCTCCCTATCAGATTGGCAAAACCCCAAGTCTGATAATGCTCGTGATGGAAAGGCCTCGGGAAGAGATGCCCTTAGAGCTGGTTGGAGGAATTGGAAATTGTAACGATCCCTTGGAGGGTGATTTGAACACATCTGTCAACAGATGTATCTACCCCTGAATAGCCCTGACTTTGAAAATGTGTCTTTCTGCGATTCTTGAGCAAATAGAAAATGACATGTCTGGGGTCAGGTTTTGACATGACCCCGGGGACCTGGCTGGTCTGGCTTGCGTCTGGGTCACTCAGTGTCCAGATGCTTGTCCTTCCCAGCCTCCCTTGCAATCACACTGGGATTATGTGGCTCATTTCCGGCCAGTAGATGTACAACAGTAATGGAAGCCACATCCAAACTTGCCCTGAAAAAGCATCCCAGGTGACCCTCTAGCTGTCTCTGCCCATCAGGCCTCTCTCCAAAACCATCTATCCCAACCAGCACAGCAGCAAAGTAGAAACTCAGCCTGCGCCATGACTCGAGTGCAAGAGATAAGCCTTTGCTTTGACGTCACTGCAGTTTGGGGATTTGGTACAAGAGCATGACCGGTTTAACCTGACAGATTGTGGGTGCTCCCTGAACAGCCTTGCTGAGGAAATGCCTGCTGCCCTCAGCGTTTTTGTACAACTAGCTGGACAAATGAGAGTAATTACAGGCTAGGTTTTCAGCCCTTGTGTTGATGAATCAAGGTGTTTAATATCGGGTCCCTCTGGTGGCCAAGGGGTTGAGTCTCAGTGCTATCACCGCTACGGCCTGAGTTCGATCCCCAGCCAGCGAGCTGACCCACAGGGCGCAGCAGACCTCTCCTGTCTCACCCGCTGCTCCCTCAGCAGTGGATTTCAGTGGATCTGCCGGTTCTGCTCCCCACTCTGTCTCTGGTGAATCCTCTCACCTCTGGCCTACACCCCAGTTCTTCTACACACAAAAATATATTGACTATCTTGCTGGATCCTGCAAACTGTCCTCCAGAAAGTTGTGCACTCCCACCCACAGGGGCAATGGAAACCAATACCTGAGGATCTCAGGCCGCTCCAGGCACAGATGAAATAAACTCACCCTCAAACAGCCCTGCTGAGGCAGGACGCTTACTCTCTCCCTCTTACTGATGAGCATATGGCAGCGCCGGGGATCTAGATGACTCGGCCAAGGTCACACACCTGATAAGAAAGGGAGTGTTTTCAAAACTGTAAATTCTTGATATCCTACTTATTCAAATGAAATGGCGGAAGCCAGAGAATCTGCATTTTATAAAGACTCCCCATGTGGTAGTGAAAGGCAGATTGGGGAATCAGGGCCAGCCAGGAGGTGCCCAGGGCTCCCTCTATCTTCCTTGAGATAGTCTTCAGGGATTTGTTCAACTGAAATAAACTGACATCAATCAATCAAAACTGATCAATTTTTTTCTTTTTTAAGGAGGATTTACTCCAGGTAATTACCTTATTGAATTTTCCAAACCAGGCCAACTTCTTTAGAGGTGTGTCCAAAGAGGTGAGAAAATGAAATATAGTTAAGTTTCTCCTTCTCACAGGAACGTATGGTAGCTGCTCACCGAACGTTGTCCGGAGCTTTGGCCGCTAACCTGAGCTTCGTGGGCAGCAGCCACTTGTCCTCATCCCAAGGTCTGAATGGCTGACCACCATGTTTGCAGTTCCAAGTTCTGCTCACATCTCATTGGTCACACCTCAGTCACATGTCTACCCCTTGCTGCAAAGGACGCTGGGAAATGTAGTCTTTATTCTGATCACCCACGTGACCCTGCAAAGCACCTATCATTGTAGAGGGGAATAAAATGATAGTGTGGGGCAGCTCTCCGACTTGCCACTGGAGGCATTATTAGAGAGTTTAGAATTTAGACTCTGGAAGAAAACAGATTACTCATTCCCAATAGCACCACTGTGCCATATGGTTTCAGAATTTCAGCTGACCATGACTGCCAATTTCAGGAGGCCCCACTTGGCTGGTCTTGGAGTGTGTGGTATGCCTTATGGTTGTATCATGCAATAAGCACATGTGGGACCTCAAACTAATCAACAGTAAGAGGTTAGAGCCAACATTTTTATTTTTAAAATTTCTTGTGTCAGTGTCAGAAGAGATATTAATATTTTGCTGATTATGTAAGAAGTTGAATGCAGAAAAGGAAGATTTCTGTTGGCGCCAAACTGCTAATCTCTTTCAGCAGTGTTTTAGCCCCACGGATAGATATGTTGTCTGGGGTTGGCGTGAATCACCTGCTCCTCTCTCTGGTATTAACAGTTTCCCCCACCTCGCCCCACCCCCCAAATCCAACTTGATTCCGGCTAAGTCTCCTCATTCATAGGACCCACATTCAGCTCCAGGCATTCAGCAGGGTGAACAATTGACCTGTAACAGCATCAAGTTTTCTTACCGGACACTCCTCCCTCACTCTCAGTCTGTGTGATGCAGAGGGGCTGACAGTTCTGCCCTCAAAACTGGACACGTGACCTGAGGTTGGCCAACCAGTGAATTCCATTCTCCTGGTAATAGTGATTGGTCCAGAGAGAGACATGTGACCTGAGATAAACAACGAAGCTCAACTCTGGATCCTGGGAAAGAGAAGCCCTTTATCAGCTGCACCTGCAGCAGGTGGACGCTGGGCCTGGATGCTGCTGCCGCCTCTGCTATCCTTCGCTCATTGCTTCACTCAGCTAATACTTCCTGAGCACCTACTATGTGCTGGCCAGTGTTCTAGACCATGGCGCTATTACAGTGGAATAAACAGACAAAATCTTTGCTGGAAGAGTTACCCTTCTAGTGGGGAATACAGACAATTAGCAAGTAGGTCGGAACGTCATGTGGTAAGAAATGCTATGAAAAAATCCCAGGAGAATAGGGGATTGCTATTGCATTAGAACAATGAATCAATCATAGCATTTATATTTTTGAATTCTGTTTTTTACTGTATCTGTTTATTTTTTAAAAGCCTGAAACACTCACCACCCTCACTCCTTACCCCATCCTCTTCACTCTGGTCATTTCATTTAGACTTTTTCTTTTTTTAAAGAAACATATCCAAAAGGGTAGGTTAATATAAAGGGGCATAGACACAGGAGGAAGAAAGAGCTGCCCCGGAAGGGACAGGCTGTGGGCACAGGCGGGCAGAAGCACTGCTGCCCGTTTGGATGCTCGAGGATCATCTACCAACTTTGTATCCCGGCATTGCACATGCAGGTGCAAGCGTCTGCTGCGTTTCCTTATCTTTCTAATTAATTTTGCTTCCATTTTTCCTTTTTTCTTTCCTTTTTTTTTTTTTTTTTGCAAATCACAAAATTTCATCTTTCTTTGTAGCTGGACTGTATTGATTGCGGATGGCCCACATTGCCTTAGCAGCTCACCTAAATGTGGGCATGAGGCCGCTGCCTTAGCTCAGTGCTACTATAATTGCGTGGCTCTTACAGCGCTTTGAGTTGACAGTGTCACACTCTGGAGAGGAGATTGATGTTTTATACAGGATGGTCTACGAAGAGGTCGTTGGGGAAGGGATATTTAAGCAGACACGCAAAGCAGAGAACGAACTGTTCTTCTCTGAAGGAACAGCAATAAACAGCGAGGGCAGTAATGCAGACACCCGAGGCAGGAGCACGCTCACTGTGAAGAACAGCAAAGAGCCAGTGTGGCTGGAGCAGAGACAGCCCAGGAGAGATGAGGGAGATGACCTGACAGTCTGACATGGCCCGGTGGGCACCGGTGAAGAAGGGGGGCGCAAGGGGACCGCAGAGGTTGGGGCAGGGGAGGGACCTGACTAGATCTGCTCTAGAAAGTTCATCCTGAGACAAGCCGCCTGCAACTTGGAATAACATCTGTCATGCTGAAAACTCTGCACCGCTATTTCTTACACCTCATTTATCCCTCCACTATCCCTATCACTCCTGTCCCCCACTGCCCGCACCATCCTACACTCAGTATTTTTCTTTAAACAAACACATTTACTTAAGTGTATTTATTTTAACTCAATTTACTTTCTACTGCCTCTGTCTACTCAGGCTAGGTTTTGCTGCGGTAACAAACAACTCCGGAATCTCAGAAGGCTATTGCCAACAAAGGTTTATTTCTCACTCCTGTTTCATGCTGGTGGCAGGTTGGCTGCGTCCAGGGATGCACTTTGCACTGGGTTTCAGGTTGAAGAAGCAGTCCCTCCCTGGGGCAGGCTATTTCTGCCAGCAGCCAGCAAAGTGCGACAGCAGAACAGGGGGTGCTCAGAGCTTCGCCTGACGCTTAGCTGTCATTCGACTGGCTAAGAGAAGTCACGCATCGGTACATGTGCACCAGGGAGCCAACCAGAGGAAGGCCTGACAATGCTGATAATAATGCAACCTGCACCTGCACGGAACACCACGTGCAATGCCACTGGCCCACAGTAGTGACCATGAAAGAGAAATACCACAAAGACATTTCACATTACTAGTCGCCACCATGCAACCTTGCTTTCTGCAGGTGCTAAGTCTGAGCTCTGCTGTGTCTTTGTTCAAAAGGGAGGTGGATCAGTGATAAGAGTGGGAATAAAGGCATGTTAGTATCGAACTGACATAAGAGAATGTCTGGAAGAAAGTGGAATGCGATTTTATGGTGTAGCCCTGTGCTGTAACACATCCCCAACAAGCTTTGGGACTTGGTCTGCCTTCTGGGAGCTCCTGCCTCAGCACTGCACTCAGTGTGGGGGGTGCTGAGGTCCCAGGTGCTGGCTGTATTGCAGAATTTCCCGAATCCCGCACCTCCCGCCTTACCCTCCCTTCTCCCGGTTGTGCAATATAACAGCCCTGAATATGACTTTCGTGGCTACCTGCCAGACAGGGTGCATTACCTTTACAGCAGTCAGAACTGTGACCCAGAGAATTCCAGCGCCTTGCTCAAGAGCACAACAGGTGGGGGCGACCGGGAGACCCTTCCACGTTCCGCTGAGCCAGAGACCTGAAAGTGTAGTTTCAGGCTCGGCCACTTGGTGTCACTCTTTTCAAACTGTGGGAAGAAGGCCCTGGATGGAGCAGTCTGCAAACTGATCCCCAGGGAAGCAAACGCTTCCTCCCACCCTGAGCTCTCACCAACCAACTAGCAACTACTGTCACAGGCGAGGAAACTGAGTGAGCCAAGCAGGTTGAAAGGACATGCCCAGCTAATAAATGGTAGATTCTAACCTGATTCGAACCCTGACACCCAACCAGTGCATGGTAGGTGTCTGTGATCTCACGTCTTCATGGAATATATTTCCAGCCAATCAACTTCAGACTCCACAATGTTCTTGATAATGAAATGAATTTGGCCATTGAGGGGAGGATATGATTTTTGTCCTTGCTGCCTTTGATGTGAATGAGTTTCCCTCTGACTACCAAGAAAACATGAAGTATCTACTTGCAAAGAATTTTTTTATGATACCAAATATTCCTTGATGATATTTCACACACTTGGAAAATCCATCTAAGAAAAAAGAAGAGAAACACTCTCAGCTCCTATCAGCCACCCAGAGATAGCACCATTGACACTCTGGAGCACACCCTTGCAGGCATTTCTCTCCACTTCCTCTCATCTATCAATGCGTTGAAAACTTAAATAAATAAAAAAACACAATTACATGAAATACATGAAATTTTTTTCTTTAAAGCTAGTCCCCCTGCTGTCTCAGCTGTGAAAGTCCAACCGCCCCTCCCCAGAAGGGGACTTATCCTACTGACCATTCTGCTAGAGATAAGCAGCACGTAGCTACACATGTGCATAGATTTCTTGTTTGTTTCTCTGAAAAGAAGCCTACGACACACCCTGTTCTGAATTGGTGTTATTTTTCTCTCTAACTGAACAATGTACCTTGGCGATCTTTCCAGATCAGCACTAGGAGAGCATTCTTCATGTATTCCATTGTCTGAAAACAATAATTCATCTCACCAGTAGGTGATTCCAGTCTTTTGCTGGGACAAACAAGACTGCAATTAGCATCCCTTTCACAGAAGTCTTTCCGTGTATGTGGGTCTTATTCTGTAGGATAAAAATTCTTTGCAACTGACCAAGTCACAGGGAAAGTGCATTTTTAACTGTAGACACTTACTGTCTAATGCCCTCTGAGGTGGTGCCTATCACCTGACATGCAGACCAACAACTCTCACGGGCACTGATTTGCCCACATCTGGCCAAAGCCAGTTGTTATCAGACT